ATAATAATAAGATATATAATATTCTTAATATCTTTGTTAAGATTATTATTTTTAAAAATTATATAATATTAATAATAAATATAATCATTATTCTTATTTTTAAATAAATCTTTTACTTATTAAATAAGACTATTAGATTTAATACTTTATTTTCTTAAGCGATAAATAATATAAAAATTAAATTTAAAAAGAAACTTTATTTATCTTATTTAGCGAAAGTTAAATTATTTAAAAAATAAAAAATATTATAAATTTTTATAATTTAAAATAATTTTAATAGAGTTTTTAATAGAGATATTAATTAATTTAGAATATTATTTTTTAAAGACTTATATTATAACTATAAGTTTCTTATTATAAATATTATAATTATACTCTATAGAAGATATCTTTTTAAAAAGAAATATTATAAATTTAAATACTTCGTTTTTATCTTTTTATAATAAAATAATAATAATTATAAAATTAAACGCGTTTATTTCTAATTAAATCTTTTTATTTAAATTAAAATAAGTAAGTATAGAGATAATAGTAAAAGCTTTTTTAAATATTTTAAAAGTAAATTATTTAGAATATTTTTAAGTCTATAAATAGATAAAGTCTTTCTTCTATTAAGTATAAATAAAATTTATTAGAAATATAACGATTTTAGAATATCTTATAATAAACTTTTAATAGAAATTAGCGAATTTTAGAAATATTTATATATCTTTAATATATCTAAATTTCTTTTATTAAGTAATAATCTTAATTTTCTTTATATTTATTTCTACTTCTTTCGTTATAATAATTAATTTTAGATATTTAACTCTAATAATATAAAAGTTATATTTATTAATATTAAGATAAAGGCTAGCTTATTAAAGTTTTTTTAATATCTTTTCTATATATTAAATATATTTATTTTTAATATTATTATAGATAAGAATATCGTCTAGATAAATAATATAGAATATATTTAAATATTCGCGTAAGATATTATTAATAAATATTTAAAAAGTAATAAAGGTATTATATAATTTAAAAGATATTATTATATATTCGAATAGACTATATTAAATAAGAAATATAATTTTTTTTTTATAATTCTTTTTTACTCTAATTTCGTTAAAAGCGATTATGATATCAAATTTATTATATATTCTTATCGCGTATAATTTAATAAGAGTCTCTTTAATTAATAGAAAAGTATTTTAATTAGAAATAATAAGTACGTTAAGAGCTTTATAATTTATATATAATCTAAATTCTCTATCGAGTTTCTTTATAATTAGAATAAATATTATATAAAGAGAAGTACTTAATCTAATATAGTCTTTTTCTAATATCTTATTAATATATTTCTTTATAATTAATATCTAATCTCTAAAGAGTTTATAAGCCCTTTTTAATAATAAAATAACTTCTTTTTTAAGATATATTTTATAATTAATAAAGCGATAAGAGAAAAGCTTATTAATTTTAATAAGATTTTAAATATCTAGTTATTTATAATATATTATAAAAATTTATTTTTATAACTATTTTATAATTAAAGATTTCTTTTTTAATTTATAAAAGAATTTCTTATAATCTTTTATTATAATAGCGACGATATTAATAATAAACTTTACTTTCTTATTAATAAAATTAAAAAATTATTTAAAATTTTAAAATTATATAATAATAATTTAATTTTTTAATTTTTTAATTATCTTAATAAAGATATAAATAAAGATCTTTATTATATTCTTTTTCTTAAATATAATCTTTACTATATAATTTAAATTCTTTTTTAAAAATTTATTATTATTTTAAATAGTAATAGATTTATTATATAATAAATAGTTAAATATATAATAATCTAAATTAAATATAATAATTCTAAATTTAAAGAATATATAAGAGTTATATTATTCTAGTTATAGTATTTCTAGAATAATATTAAATCGTTTTAATAAGATAATTAAGTATTAAAGTTCTTCTATATAATCTTTTAAAATAAGTTTTATTAAGATTATATATATAATATTAAAAATAAAAATAGATTTATTATTAATTAATTATAATCTATAAAATTATATTAATACTACTTTAGATAGCTTATTTATTTTAATAAAAGATATATTTATAAAGCTTAATATTAAAGCTTTAATATTTAAGAGATAATTAATCTTAATCTATTCTATTAATATAATAATTTTTTTATAAAAGTTTAATTAATATTTATTTTATAAAGAGACTTTAATAATAATAATATACGCGAATAGAGAGATAAAAGCGAGTATTCTTTCTATTTCTAACTCTTTAATTTTTATATATAAGACTTTTAGATTTCTAGCGACGACTTAATTAGAGATATTTAATTTTTTAATTTTTATAATAATTTAATAAGAATATTCTCTATAATATCGACGACTTTTAGAATTATATTAACTTATTCTTTTATTAATAAATTTATATTTTTATATAAGATACTATTATCGCTAAAATAATATTCAATTTTTAAATATTTAAAATATCTATCTTCTTTTTAAATTCTATTTATTAATAATTTAAAATACTTATATTTTTATATATAGAAATTTTTAATAATAATATTATTATTTCTTTTAGTAAAGAAAGTATTACGCTAATTATTTAAAAAGATAAAATTCTTATTAATTTTATTAATTTCTTTCTTACTTTTTAAATCTAATATATTATTAATAACTTAAAAATTTATATTTAATACTTATAGAAAAATAACTAATTCTTAAAAAGTATTAAAAGATTATTTTAAAATTTAATATCTTAGATATATAGAGATTAATTATTTTAGATTAAATATCTTATAAATATTAATAAATCTTAAGAGAGTAATAATTATAGAGAATTATATATAGAAATTCTTAAACGATTTCTTCTTATCTATTACTCTTATATTAAATTTAAAATTAAATATCTTAATATTCGATTTAATAATCTTATTATATATTTTAAATATATTATATATGAAGAGATTATTAAGTATATCTTATTAAATAACTAAGATACTTTATTAAATAGCTATATTTTTTATCTATAGCGTATAAAGTTACTTCGCTATTTTAAATATATTCTTCTATATACTTTTAAATTATATTCTTTTTTCTTTCTAATTTATTAACTTTCTCTTATAATTAGTTATTTCTTATACTTTTAGAAAGAGCGATATATATATATATACTTTTATCTTATTTAAAAATACGTTTACGATTTATATAATAAAGTTAGAATTTTTTATATTTATTATAGTTTATAATAGAGCTAAAGTCTTCTTAATTACTATCTATAATATTTTTTTTATATATTATTTTTCTTTAATTATACGCTATATAAACTCCTTCTCTCTTTATATAGTAACTTTATTTATTTATTTACTAACTTTATTAATAGCTATATCTATATACTATTTCTTAATCTTCTTCTATCTCTTAACGGAAATCGATATCTTAATTATAAAGCTAATATATCTCTTTTTAGCTATAATCTAAGATATATTATCATTCGACTACTTTAAATATTCGATATTACTTTATAAAGTACGAGTAAAGGCCTATAAATTAAATTTATAATTTTTTTTTTAATTAGAGCTATCGAGTAAATAGGTAAGCGATCTTTAATAAGCGAACTTTGGTAAGCGACTTTGATAAGCGATATTTGAATTCCTTGCGCTTTAATAATTATAAGACAAATTTAAATTTTTTAAAATTCGGAAAGCGCAAATAGCGCTTTAAAATTTAAATTAAAAATTCCAAAATTTTAATAGAAAATAAAAAAGTTATTACTATTATAAATAACGTATATCTATAATTTAATAAGAGAGGCGCGGAAGGGCGAGATTTTAATAATTACGAATATTAATTTATTTATCCGCGATAACTTAGTTAATCTAATTAAAGAGCGTAGTAACTCTAAATTTATAATTAACTATATATATAAATTCAAGGTTTTTAAGCTTAGCTCTATCTTATTCTTTTATATATACTAATTTACGAATAGAAGAGAGAAGAGAGGAATAGAATTTCGAAAAGACTGAAATTTATTAGAATTATATCTAGAGAATATATAGATTAAACGTAATTTCTAATAGCTATTCTATTTAGAAATAATTTATTAAATTTAATAATATCTAAAGAGGCTTAATTCGAAGTTCGCTTATAAGTTTATTCTTCTAGAAAGTATTATTTAATTATATACTATTTCTATATTATTATATACGCTTATTTATATTCGCTATTAATTATTATCTATTAATAATATTAATATATTATTATCTTATCTTTAGCTACTTAGCTTATAGCGAAGTACTCTCTATAAAGCTTATTTAGCTTTATAATTAGTTATCTTTCTCTAATATTAAGATCTATTTATATAATACTTTATTAGAGTTATAGCTTAAATAGTAGCTAGAATTATCGCTTATACTTTAGATTTAAAATTAATATCTACTCTCTTACTAAGATAATATTATTATATTATTTTAAGATATAATATTATCTTTATAATCTAACTTTAAATTATAGATAATAAAATATTAATATTAATATTAATAGATATTATAGAAGTAAGTATATTTAGAGTAATAATAAGAGTAATAGAAGTATTAATAATAGCTAAAGTCTATATAGTAGTAGTAATAGATATCTCAGCTATAATAATATAAAATAATAGAAATTTAATAGTTTTTTATAAAGAAGATAATTTTTACGACGATTTTAACTTAGTCTTAGAAATAGAATTATAGAATAAAACCGTATATATATTCTACTTGTTTTGGAAATATCCATAGCGTATTTTCAAGCCTTATTTTCATTAGCTAAGTGGTGGCGTTATTTAGTGGAAATAAGTAGGGGTTATTTTCAAAATATGTGGTTGCAGAAGGGGCCCTAAGGTTGACACAAGAAGTTCTGCACTCGCGCTAGTAGCAGACCTAACCCTTGGCGGGTGCAGGACCCCATTCTCCGTACTCTTAGCAGTCATGGCCATTTGTTGAGTTCATGTTTCGTAGAAGGCCAAAAAGTGGCTCCAAATACAGAGATCTATTCCAACCTACATTGACTTGTACCTGCGTCCAAACAAATTGTCAGGCTCGCTGGGCGCTGGGAGGACGTTTGCTGGTCCAACAGGATGGCTTGCCTATCCAACAATACTCTTCCTCAGCCTCCTCCAAACGATGGCAGACACGACAAGTCAAAGACAAATTTGCCGTCAATGCAAAAGTACAAGGTCTGAAAAGCCGCGCTGCATTCAAGCTCTTAGAGGTCAGCTCTAGCCCGCCGTCCATTTCATGACCTTCTTGGGCGAGTCCTGTCTGCTGAACATACTGATCAGATCAATGAGAGATACAAGATATTCCGTGGAGGTCAGACAGTTGTGGATTTGGTACACATGCTCTCTGAAATCCAACACCGAGCGCTGACAAGTATAGGGGTACGCTCCTGGATCCTGGTCGCAAGTTGGTCATCACTACGTCTTTACTTTCAGCGCAGCATTTAATGTGTCTTATCCGCTTTAGGTTGCAGTAGACCGTACTTTTCCCAACGGAAGAGTGCTGGGTATTGACATTATCCCCGCTCAACCACCCAAAGGTGTCTCGACCATTCAAGGAAATTTCCTCTCACCAGCTATACAGGAGGAAGTAAAGAGGTTTCTGCGCGAATCTGATCGAGGACGGATCAAACAGGAGCCATCCTTTATCGCAGAGGAGGGAGAAGACCAGATGACGGAGGAAGATCTTGAACAGAGCTCGAGGAGCTACCTCGAGCTTGAGAAGAGAGCCGACGTGGAAACCTCGAGCCATGCTGTTTCAGCCGCGCAAAAAACAAGGGGAGGCAGGTCTGGGACTGGCAAGGTGGACAGCGGAATGGTGGATGTTGTGCTCAGCGATATGTCCGAACCCTGGGAGCAGACAGAAGGCTTTTGGAAGAGGAGTCTGAGTGACCCGTATTATAGGATGATGAATACGAGCGGCGTGAGCTTCAGAGATCATGCCGGTAGTATGGTAAAAGCAACACCGACCTTGTACGCTCTAGAAAGCTAATTGGAGGGCATCATAGGATCTATGTGACGCTGCACTACGCTTTACTTTCGACACGTTGCGAACTGGCGGACATTTCGTCTGCAAATTCTATCAAGGCTCAGAGGACAAGGCTCTAGAGCTCCGATTGAAGACCCTTTTTTCGAGGGTCCATAGAGAGAAGCCAGAATCTTCACGCAGCGTGAGAGATCAAAACCTTGTTAATAACGGTGAGGCTGACGTATTGAACAGGAATCAAAGGAAGCTTACTTTGTCGCACTGAGAAGAAGAGCTGGCTCGTAGCATCACTAGAGGAACGGAGGTTCGAATATAAGTGGTATATACTACCGCAATAGTGATACACGTCTCAGCGCTGAAACCCCAACAACGTGGATCCAAGACATTATTCAAACTCCACTAAATGCCAGCTTCAACGTCAATGCAGGTCAACCAATCACAACACCTTGAGGCCGGAAAATGCAGACTGTGCAACCATTCTTCAGATTATCTCGCCTTCACCTTCCTCGTTCTCTCCTTCGTCGCTCCATTCCATCTCGGCCAGTGCTTTCTCTGCTGATCGCTGGACCTGCGGTGCGTCAGTCTTGTGATGTTGGGTACTGACAATGTTCTCACCTCTGCTAATCCGCTGAGATCCTCGACGAAGCCTTTTTCATTGAGTGCTTTCCTTACAAATTGCCAACCCTCAGATTTGAAAGCCCGAGTGATGTTGTCCGAGCAAGCGCTGCAGCAGTCGTAGCTTTTGCCCTTTATCATGATGTTCTGGAAATTTGATAGATAGCCACGAATCTGATGAGGCACGAGACCTAGAGGATGATCTCCACGGTCCTCCGTTGTATCGGATGACGCTGGAGCGGAGGCTCCTAATGGATGTTGTATTAAGGACACAAGGATCTCGACGAGCATTGCAGAAGCTATCGCTGCAATCCCGGGACGGGTGACTGTGCACTGCTGGTCAAGAGTTCGATCTGTCACCGACTGCGAGAGAAGGTGATCAGCCTCTTGGAATTTATTAGCTCGATGGTCGACCTACATCTGCCGGAGCTACAACATCATTACAGAAGTAACAACCCAACTCTTGCCCCGGGCTGGAGCTGCTCATGCCATGCCGCATGACAACGAAGGAGTCGAAACCCAACGCCGCGTTCATGACTATTTTATTTGCTGCTTTGCCCATAACCGTCGGCAGCCATCGACTTTCACGGGTGTCCATGAGCAAAAAGATGGCGTCATGTTCTTCGATGAGCTGCTGTAAGGTCTCAAACTCTGACTTGACAACCGCTTCGTCCATGATAGGGTGGCCCGCCATAGGAACTGACATCACGTAGCCGCTCGAATCGACCCCGGGGTATATCTCCTTCAGCGCTTGTGATGCTCGGACTGCCTTTTTTGCTCCGCCACCAAGACAATCCTCGAAATCAAAGAGCGGTTGGCGAACAGGGTTGGAGAATGACACGGAACCATTATCAACGAAAGTGATCTTTCGAACGCCCCAACCCTAGGATCGGAACAGCCGCTCAGTAACAATAAAGCCAGTAGCTAGCGAAAACCATATACGCACCATAAGATTGCGCGCAACATAGCTGCCCAATGTCCCTGCCCCTAGAAGTAAACATTTCGTGTCTTTGATTTTGTCCAGGTCCAACCCCGGTGCAATGCGCCATTTGATAAGCTTTAAGTTCAGATCAACAGCTTGATCGGCCAATCTAGAAATAGCAGTCAGATGTTGCTCTCTGGTTCGAACTCCAACTTCGAGAATACCTTTGAGGGTCCATGTATTCCCCTAGATTTGCAATCCGACTCATCACTTTACCTGCGCTGTTACGCTCCCAGCCTGTTACTTTTGGCATCTTGTCTGAAAGTGAAGAGTTCTGAGCGGATGAGGTAGATGCATCACTGGCTTCCAGCACCAATGGAAGTATGATACTTTTTGCTTCGTCCCGGCGCGCTTGGACGTCTCTATAGCATATGATCTGGACCCTGTCCGTCTTCCATCGTCTGCGTATTAGAATCAGTAGATTTCGTAGCATCCAGCCCGGATACGTTGGGTACGTAGAGGGATCCGTGAAACCGACAAATCGATCCTCTTCGGGTATGTCTTCAAAGAACTCGCGCTCATAATCTATCAGCGACCCGACAGCCCAAGTGAATCCCAGTTTGTCCCCGGGTGTCCCAGGGGTTGTTGGCCTATAACCAGTCTCATCGTCCAGGCCACTACCATCTTCAGTTGCTTCGTCTTTACGAGTGTACCCGACGAACGAGCTTGGCCGTCGTTTCTTGGCAAGAAAGAAGCCGTGCTGCCGCGCATCAACTCTATATCGCCATGTCTGTACGGAGTCCACTAGTGCTGCCGTCTCTTCACCTGTCATGTGAATAATCGCATCGCCTTCTCCATGACTACCTTCAGCCAATCCCAGACGCGATCCCACGTTGGGTACTAGTCTCCAAGGGGAGTCTGAGTGGAGAGCTGGAAAAGCGAAGAGGTAGGTGAACTTGTATTTCTTGAGGTCTGCAAAGCAGATCGCAGTGAAGGAGGCGAGTAGCGAAGGGCATGAGTATATCGTGCCATCATTAATCGCATCCCAGATGGTGCAAGCTGCCTGCGATAATACCGCTCCCTTGTCTAAACTTCTATAATCTTCTATTGTGTTGAAATTTTTGATCATGCCTTCAGCTCGACAAAAGCCCGCCGGGACAGCATCACTCGTTAGCGCGTTGCCATGAATCTGCAGGCGACATGAAGCCTCTGGCGAATCGCTCGATCTAATCTCATATAGTCCAAGAAGCCTTCTAGCCGAGTCGTCGAGCTTATCATGATTGATCTTATGAGAGGCGAGAGACGTGTAGAAGGGCAGTTCGATGTCTGAGGTGAAGGTCGCGAACTTCAACATTGCGTGTTGCGTAAGAGTCACACTGATGTCGTTCACGTCAAGAGCGGGGCCGATGTGTACAAGTACTTCGTCTGTACAGTCAGTAAACAATGCTGCCGACTGAGGCAGGTGCCCCAGGTCCTAGATCCCAGGTCCGGGTCGGGTGACGCACACTACATATACAGGTAGGGCTCCCTCGGGTCGGGCCTCAACGCCGATCACACGCGTGTACCTGGCTTCGACACTTTCGAGCATGTCGATCGCTTTATGAATCTCTGTCGTTTTAATCGTAGCATTGCAATTTAGTGAAATATCACAATGCTTGTTGGTTTATGTGGAGGTAAGTCATCACTTTACACGTATTCCCTTGCGTGAGAGGCTCATAACATGCTATAGGGATCTGCGCGGGGAAGAACTCAGTTGCCGAATATCTGACAGAAAATGTTGGGTTTGTAAGGCTGCATCTGGCTCTACAACCATCTCCACTACTGGAAGTCGAGCAACACGATGCCAAAGAGAACTCTTTTGCCTGTGTGCAATCTCTATTGGATTTCGTTACAAAACAATGGCAGCAACGCTGGGTAATGACGGATGTGTGGGATGAAAACATATTAGAGAACCTCTTAAGGCGGCCATCTTTCATTCTCGTTAGTGTGGATGCCCCCGTGAGCATGCGGTGGAAACGTCTCAAGAATCGGTGAATTTGGCAAAGACCAATAGCCCCAGACCTAGGAGACTGACAATCAAGATGTGAACAGCAAAACATGGCCTCGCCAACCCTGGAAGAATTCGTATTTCGCAATGATGACCATTTGTACAATTCGAAGATCGGTCTGGCTTGCCTCATTGATCGCGCAGAAGTTCGCCTAGTAAACCAGACGCAGTCCATTGATACTTTACATGAGACCTTACGGGATCTAGACTTAGCGAATGAGCAACGCCTACGACCAAATTGGGATCAGTACTTCATGCAACTAGCGTCCCTTGCTGCGCAAAGGAGTAATTGCATGAAACGGCGAGTAGGATGTGTCCTTGTCCGCGAAAAAAGAGTGATTAGTACAGGCTACAATGGTACGCCTAGAAATCTGAAAAATTGTAACGAAGGCGGCTGTTAGTGTCCCCGAGAAAGCGTGGAAGATGTATCGCTGAACTTGCCAGGTGCACGATGCAATGCTGGACATAAAGCTGGTGTCAGTCTCTCAACGTGCAGGTGCATTCACGCGGAAGAGAATGCGCTACTTGAAGCAGGTCGAGAACGGATCAGAGAAGGCTCTATTCTCTATTGCAATACGTAGGTCCCGCGGCAAGCCTCTTGATCTGTGTGAGCTAACGCTTTGCGTGTAGCTGTCCTTGCTTGACTTGCAGCATCAAAATCACTCAGGTTGGGATATCCGAAGTTGTCTACTCACAAGGTTATGGCATGGACAATGAAGTTAGCACATCCCTTCGCACATCAGGTAACCACAGTCCTAATCAAAATGAGCAGACAGCGGCTGTATTTGTCGAGGGCGGTGTCAAGCTACGCCAATTTTCTCCAGTAAAGCTTGTTCTCGCATTAATCCTTTTGACCTGCTAACTGGATTGCAGCCTCGCAAAGGGTTAGTCCATCTCGCATAGACGTGGCAGAAAATGTGCTGGATGGGCGTGGACTGCGCTGAATTCTGGTCTGGTCTCCGCCTTCGTGACGTCGAGGGTAAGCTACAACAAACGGAGCAAAGAGGAATTCCATCTCACTTTTCTTAGCATCCGTCATATGGCAGATAATTCGACTTATCGTAATAGCTCTGCCACCCCCAGAAAGCGACGCCAAAAGCAATGCAGACCTGGCTCCAATATGTGGTTTCACCACATACACCCTCATGAGCGCGTCTGCCCAAGATCGGGGTTCGGATGTTGCGTCTCCGGGTTGATCTACGCTCTTGATAAGAGGACTATACTCTTACGGCTTTCAGTGCCTGTATCTGCCCAGACTGACTTCTCGAAAACTTAGCCAATCCACGCGTTGAGGTTGCAGACCAGAGTCTCTGTTTTGGGCTACAAACTTCATAACCCATTGACGAGGCGTAATGGAGTAAGCTCCTGTGGTAAATAGGGAAATATAAGCGCTCCGTTTAGCGGTAGCTGGACTTTCTGCGTTTCCAGGAGAGCCTTTCCATAGATGACTTCGTCTTTGTGGAGCTTGGGCGTATGAGTATTCCGTGGCATGAACTTCAAATCTGAGTACCTAGACGAATTTGCCGCGCTTCCCGGAAGACTGCCGCCAAACTTACTATCCCAGGTATCCCTTTCCTTGTGGCCGGGACGTACACGCTAGTAGGGGTCAAATGTAGGGGTATGGATTGGTCAGATCGACGTTGCCGCGCTCATGAGTAAGCAAAGTCTTAAGCCGCAGTGAACCGCGATCATTGGACAAAT